CGGAATCTATGCAAGTCTCCGGGATTTCTCAATTCCGGTATGTTCTCCGGTGGTGCGTCGAGGAATCGCGTCGCTTTTCCCGTTCAGTTTCGTCGCGCTCTATCTGTTCGATGTTTTGCCTCTTCAGGCGGTTCTGATAGAATTCAGGTCCAGAACCCTATCGTTGAAATGGATGGTGAGATTCTTCGCGGTACTAGTGTTATTGTGACATTAAATTGCAACTAGTTGTGTGTAAATTGATTGGGACTTAGTATTTACTTGCTTATGTTCCTTACTAACTTTAGGATCTTAGAGAAATGTGTCTTAATTGTTTTATTTTTCTTGTGGAAATTAGGTGATGAGATGACAAGAGTGATATGGAGTATGATAAAGGATAAAGTAAGGATATAGTTATCACCAAGTTCGTACCATTTCGTTACATGTCTAATGTTCTTACAGAGCTTACAAGTCGTTTTCTTATGTTTGCAGCTTATTCTTCCTCATCTGGATTTGGACATTAAGTACTTCGACTTGGGAATTCTGAATCGCGATGCTACTGATGACAAGGTTACGGTTGAAAGTGCAGAAGCAGCTCTTAAGTAAGCTCTGATGATTCTTTGCATGGTTTAGATTCTTTTGGTTCTGTTCAAAGGTCATATAAAACACTTTTAACGCCTGAATTGAAATTATCAGTTTTGGTCTCACATTTCGTCATAGCATATTCTATTATCAATAAAGTATTGCCTTTTTTGTGTGGCCTTAGTTATGACTCTTTCTCTATGTGAAATTAAGCTGATTTAGCGCTTAAACCTTTTCTTTTTGCAGGTACAATGTTGCTATCAAATGTGCCACCATAACTCCTGGTTTGTGATGTCCGCTCATTTGCAACACCTATGCTGCCTTTTTGCTTTAGACGAAGCATTTTTTTATATCTTGCATATGATAATTTTTCCAGATGAGGACAGAGTGAAGGAGTTTGGACTGAAATCAATGTGGAGGAGTCCTAATGGGACAATCAGAAACATTTTAAATGGTTTGTATCTGTGTTACAAAAAAACAGAACATGTTTTGCATAATATGAATATCTTAGTTAAATTGATTTGCAACTTTTTATTTCATCCAGTTTGCAGGTTTTTTGGGCAATTTATTTTCAGTTTTTTTTTAACATAACGTTCAATATTTTTCTAGGTACTGTTTTTCGTGAACCTATCATGTGCAGCAATATCCCACGGCTTGTTCCTGGTAAATTATTTACCTTGCTATGAATCTGTGCTATGATCTGTATTGGGATATTCACATGACGACTCAAATCTTATGTCTTTACAGGTTGGAAAAAACCTATATGCATTGGTAGGCATGCCTTTGGTGACCAGTATCGTGCCACAGATGCAGTAATTAAAGGGCCAGGAAAGTTGAAAATGGTTTTTGGTAAGGTCATACCAAACTATATTCCTTAGACTATAAGGGTTCTTCGATCATATAGTGCAGATTATAAGTGAATGTATCTCATTGTCTAATTAGTCCCAGAAGATGGGAACACTCCTGTGGAACTAGACGTATATGATTTCAAAGGTCCAGGTGTCGCACTTGCTATGTACAACGTAGATGAGGTCTGTCTCTTTTATTATCTGGTTTTAGTTTGTTTTTTTCACTCTGGTTGTGAAGATTGTTTTATCTTGTAACAACCGTACTTTGTTTTGTGACATGCCAGTCAATTCGTGCTTTTGCTGAGTCATCTATGGCGATGGCACTTGCTAAGAAATGGCCACTATACTTGAGTACCAAGAACACAATTCTCAAGAAATACGATGGCAGGTCTGTTTCTATCTTCTTGGTGATCTCCAAGTCCCGGTTTTGCATAAGCTTGTTCATCTAACATGTGGTGGAACAATACAGGTTCAAGGACATATTTCAAGAAGTTTATGAGGCGAATTGGAAGCAAAAGTTTGAAGAGCACTCGATCTGGTTAATATCTATCTGCTCTTGTTTACATAAAATTTCCTCTCTGCTTCTTCTTTCTTTACATATTTGATAAAGGTGATGTGTAAATGGTATTGTTGTTTTAGGTATGAGCACCGCCTGATTGATGACATGGTGGCTTACGCAGTCAAAAGCGAAGGTGGCTATGTGTGGGCTTGCAAAAATTATGACGGTGATGTGCAAAGCGATCTTCTTGCTCAAGGTATATATTTGAGACAAACAATTCCTAAATTTTGATTGGCTATTTGCCAATAACATCCTAACACTTCTTGTTCCTTTAAATGTAGGGTTTGGCTCATTAGGCCTCATGACCTCCGTTTTGGTTTGTATTGTAAACCGAAAGCCAAGACTCAATTTTCTTTGCATATAAAAGTCTTAACATAATATGTTTTGTTCAGTTATCTTCTGATGGGAAAACGCTCGAGTCGGAGGCGGCTCATGGAACCGTAACTCGGCATTTCCGACTGCATCAGAAGGGTCAAGAAACCAGTACTAACAGCATCGCCTCCATATTTGCATGGACACGCGGCTTAGAACACAGGTCTGTAGCTTCTTTCACGCACAGCTTTACCGTCATTTGTTCTGAGATTCTAACTAGATTGGCTAACAGAGTTGTGGATTTCGTAATGCATTCCCTTACCTATTTCACTTGCAACATTCTTGTGACATGTAATTTACTCTCTTTTGATCATCATTTTGATGGGTTTTGTTGCCCAATTTGCTTCTGAAGGGCGAAACTCGATAAGAACGAAAAATTGCTGGATTTCGTAAAGAAGCTTGAGTCGTCGTGTGTAAACACTGTTGAGACAGGGAAAATGACCAAGGATCTTGCCCTTTTAGTCCATGGTCCCAAGTAAGTAACCTTTCTTTTTATCACTAGCAGCAACTTTTGGATTACAATCTGGTCATTTGCATGAAATACGAAAGAGCTTTAACTGTCTTCATAACCCAAATCAACTAACCTGGACCGCAGGATTGAACCCCATAGTGAACTTTAAATTTGTTAAAATGATTCAAATTAGGTTGTATAATTTTATTTGAAGAAAACAGACCGATTCCAAACCGATTCATACTGGATTCGGTTTTTAATACCACTATTGTATGTCTGATTCGTGATGGTTTAATGTGCAGGGTGAGTAGGGATTTGTTCTTGAGCACAGAAGAGTTCATTGATGCAGTAGCATCCAATCTCCAGTCACAGCTCAATTAGCCTACTATTGTCTGACCATTGTCCAGGAACAATACAAAAAATAATCCTCGCCATAATTTCATAATGGATTGGCGGATCGAACGATATTTTTTTTGGAAATAAACGTTTGTTTTTATTTTTCTAAGTTGTTTTGAGTTGATAAATTTATTATCAAACATGAATTTCAATTTATACATACAATGCAAACATGAGTTGCCCAGGCTTAAGTACGAATCTATTAAAGAAAAATTCAATTTTATCATTCTGGGAGATAAATGTAACAAAAATATTCACATTCAGCCTTTGTAATTGAGTCCAAAATTTAAAAAGATCAGAGTCACCGGTCTTTGATTGAAAAAAAGAAAAAAAATCAGAGTCAACGGTTTAATGTTAGGGAATTCAATTCGATTCTTAGCAGAACCGTACCGGAACCGGGATCGCTAAAACCCTTCTTTTTTGCTTTTGTTGTCGGCTCAGTCTCTCGCCGGTGCTTAAGCCCTCTTCTCTCTCTTTTCTCCGCGTCTCTGTGTGTGTATGTGTAATGTCCTCGATTGTGAGTCGCGCTAGATCAACTTCGCTTCCTAATTTCCTCGCATGGCGTGCTTTGGGGTTTCGTACCATTTGCTCTGGCCGCCTCGGTTTCGCTCCCTCTGATCCACACTCGCCGGCTTCGGCAGGAACCAAAATTTTGGAATCTTTCAAGGAGGAATTCGAAATCGGATCCCGTGTGGTCACTTTGGAGACTGGAAAGATTGCTCGATTTGCAAATGGTTCTGTTGTTCTCGGCATGGACGAGACTAAAGTTCTCTCTACCGTTACTTCCGCTAAGACCGACTCGCCTCGTGATTTCTTACCTCTCACTGTATGTTACAAAATCTTTTGCACCATTTCGATTTCGTTTCTGATTTTTGAAGCGATTATGGT